ATTCGACTAATCAAATTTTTTTAGCACAGCTGCAACTTTTAGTTCCCATGACATCTCAATTAGAACAACAGTAACTTCTGGTTCTTACCAACGATACTAGATGACATGCTGTCACTAATTTAAAACGATTTTAATAGCGCAGTTTGAACTTTTAGATCCCAAGAACACCACAGCACAATAAGAATTCCTACTTCTAGAAATATTAAATGGCAGGAGAGTGTCATTTACTTACACTGGTTTTCTGTGCTACAGGATTCTCGGAAGGAACATTAGATGGCAAAATTCTTACCAGAACTCAATAGATCAGAATAAAATAAAATGGCAAGGTAGTGTACCAATACTTAGGTCCTACATCTCTGAAAATTTCACTGAATGGCGTGAACATTTAAAAAAAATTTGGCCAGAAAAGAATACCTATACTCTACGTGATAGCAAGTGCAGCAGATTTCAGATTCTCATATATCAGACTCATGTCTATCAACTCTTACAATTATTATTACTACTGCAACTACGGCTGTTGGTACTACTTCTACTATTACTACTTAGAATTATTAACTGCAAACAGAAAGGAATTTACTGTGTTATTGGTGTTCTACATTTCGAACGTATTTTCAGAAAAAATGTAATTAAAAGTGATTAAGTTACGCTCTTCTTACTTGTATCTTGGCGCCCCATGGAATACGGTTGGCAGAAGATACGCAGGTATACCAACCAGCGATTAACAAACAATATCAATGCGTTACCCGTAGAGAAATATTTCATTTAACCTTTGGTGCACGAATTATCCTTGACAGAGTCCATTTTGATATAGGTATTTGTTGTTGTGTGTGGTGGTGTTCGTTAGGTAAGCATTTACTTTAATAACTCTTTATTAAGTTTTGTAATTGCAGTGTATTTGAGTTCATACTAATGTGCTTAATGGTTGGATATTATTAGAAAGGGTGATTGTAGTCTATATTGAATGGGTTCTTTGTCTGGCTGTTCCCGGCAAAACGTTGCCATTTGACCGATGAGATGTTTAGCGTGGGTTCATTGTTCTAAATAGCGGTCTTAATACTAATTATTATTATTATTTCTATTTCACACCCAGAATTTGACTGTTCAAAACTGCTTGTATGATGTCTTTGAAAACTGATTTAGAACCAACAAACTCTTTTTATTTTGACAAAGATATTATAAAATTTTGTACGAACAACATTGTGTCAATCTGGATGTAGGGTATGAGGCTAAAATGGAGAAGTAGGAACAACTAAATTTCCTGGTTTACTAATTGACAGTAAGTTAAATTGGATAATTACAATTACAAATTAAATTGTCTTTAAACCAAGCTCAGTATCACTTATGAAAGTAGGAACTTTGAATTTATTCTACTTTGTTTAATTCCATCATGTCGTGGAATTATTTTCTGGGGAAACTCAATAGACTTCAAAAAAGTATTTTTAGTGACAGTCATTAAAGGAGGAGACTGATGTCAGAATCATGCTAGGGCATGCCGCAGCATGAGAGAGATGGAGTCCCCACTGGTTAGGGTTAGGTTCTTCCTTGGCTGTCAGTTTCCTATAACTCTAACCATTGCCACTTGCACGGCTTGCTCATCGCCTTGATGATGGAGGCAGCAAGGACCTTTGAAACGTCAGTAACTTCTACCAGACTACACAGCTTAACAACTGAGAAGACAGCCATCTTCAGACTCTGCTATGAAAACCTCAAATTCTACAAGTGTATTTGTTTTATGACATTTTCTACATTGCTGGCTTAGGCCTATGAAGGATCCATGGAATGTAAATAAATTCTGTTCTAATGGTTCTACTTGTTTTGCATTATTTGTCAAGGATAATTCCTTTTTTAAGGATGTCTTATAATAATGTGACGCTTGTTTTAATTGATGTTGGAATGCTAATAATTTACCATTGAACAGGTTGCCGGATGTATGATATATAGCATTCATGGCGACTAAATTCAGTGAAGGTTTCACAGGCAAGCATCCTGTCTTTTGGCCATAAAAACCAGAATTTTGAGAGTTATCTCGGTCCTCTTTATTTGGGATTGGTTTTACGTCCACCTGATGTGACTGATTGCCCATAAAGACTTATTTGAGGTTACTAGATGTTGATACAATCTATAGATTTGGGAAATAGTCCAGTAACTCTGTAGAAAGCATGTTGTATTGTGAAGGCCATTGTATTGAAGCTATACTGATTGTTGTCTTGGAAATGTGTAAGTTTTGCTAGTGGTACTAATGGAGAATTAGAGTAATGTATATGTAATGAATAGAAGAGTCTGGTATAACATTAAAATCAATTATGATTGTGGTTTTTTTTTAGTCACATAGGTGTGCTTAGAAGTCTGTTTTTGTTTGGTTTTGGGTGAAAGATGATGCATGGGTATACCCATTCTTTGGTAAAAAGGTTGTAATCTTACAGTGTTTTATGGCAGTTGCCTTTACTTCAAAAATTGGGTATTGTGCATATTTATTTGGTAGAGTAGTTGGTGACATTTGGTAAACTTCCAGATTAGGTATGTGCAAGGAACTTTAATATTTCTGCAGTGTATACCGAGCCCTGCCAGTGTCTCTGCTTGCACGATATAAACCTGAAACTAAACTATAATATTCTGACCTAACTTAATCTAATGTTTGTCACAGTGATAAAGGTGGTACATCTTGCTGACAAGGTTAGACAGGGATGCAAGCAATAGACTGAACAGAGGAGAACCTGTTAAACAGGAAGGGAAACCAGTACAGTACTGTAGTGGCTAAGGCTACTGTTACAGCAGTTTAAGAACTGTGTATATGTCTGTTTCAGTCAGTGTCCTTGAAGGTCATTTCTGGTGATGTCTATCTGTATGTAATACTCAAGAGTGGTTGTACAGAATTTTGCTTAATTTGCTATTGCCATGTCATTTGAGGCTACTCCAGAATCATTTTTGATAATACATGCTCTTCCATTTGAAATGCAGCCTTCATTGCTATGCATGAAACTCTTCACACACAAAATGTCCTAAGTAATGCAAACAGTTGATTCTTGAAGCCATAAACTCTTTCAGCTGATACAGTGGTTTAAGTTGGTATGGTGTAATTTCAGCTGTTTGTTCCTTGGTGAGCGCTTATCTTCATTCTGCATGCATCTAAAAATTGTGTTACCATTTGGTATATAGTTGTCTTACTCAGTATGTGTTATCGAATGCTTCATGGATTGCTGCATATTTTGATGCGATGTAATATGTGAAAATGAACGTGTTCTGCTCCTGATCACACCATGTTTGTGTCTATGCAATTTTTGTGCAAATGGCCTAGCATCAAGAGTGATCTTGACTTCTGTGTTGCAGGGGAAGTTGGAGTAGTTGCTCAGATGTGGGCCTCTATCTGATTTCAGTTCTATACCTAAGTACCTGATTGTCATTAATGAAATCTTCTTGGATTCTCAGCCATGTCAGATTATTAAAACTTGCCGATGTTTTGAGGGCCGCCTCTATCCTAGTTCCTCAGAGATGGTCACCAAAAGATTGGCAGGTTTTAATCATCTGACGTGGCTTATGGCCTGAGAAGATTTTATTAATGACAGCTTCACATTATACATGGTTGTTGTTGGGTTTTCATTGTAAATGGTACATCCTGTTCATACATGGTAGATGCTTGAAGTCATGTGGCTGAATGATGATGCCATTATACATAATTTTCTGCACATTTGTGATGTCAATGTACCGTGATGAAGTAATGTCTGGATACATATAATGTGTCATAAAGAACACTTCTGCAGTTTGTGTACTCCAAAGAGGACACCTTTCCACAGTTGTTTTTATTTCACCATCTAACCTTGTGTGGTGGTGTCATGTCTTGGTCCGCATCTCTACTTGTTTGTCTGCTATCCTGATATTTTTCAAAATTTTCTTTGGCCTCTCCCGCTTGAATGCCAGTATAGTACCTTCAAGTTGACAAGTGTCTAGTTCCAAAATATTCTGTACTCAAGTTTCATGATTATCTTTCCATGTCATTAAGGAACTGAAAGTGTTGCATATCTGAAGAATCAATCTAAAATTAAACTACATGAACACATTAATCAAATGTGCTTTTGTGCCAGGCTACTTAATGGAAGAATTATCTAACCGTGGCGGTTTTCGTGGTGGAGCACGAGGTGGTAGGGGTGGTCCAGGAAGGGGTGGCCCTCCAAGAGGTCGTGGAAGTTTTGGAGATGGTATGCGAGGAAGGTATGCTGTTTTAAGATTGGTTTTATTCCCATTGTTTATTAAATACAGTGAGCTACAAGCCATATTCCATAGAACATGGATACTGATGCCATGCTAAGGAAGATTAGGATATAATGAAATGGAACTTGTCTCTCAGAAAGAGTCTGAATATTATTCTCCAGCACAGCCTTTTGTTACTACACTTCTGTGGAATGCTTGATTCAGCAAGTCTTAGTTGTTTGAATGTGGTGCTTTATAACTATAGTTTGATGCTTCTTTAAACCTTTTTCTAGGGGTGGTCGTGGTGGCATGATGAGAGGTGGACCTCAAGGTCGAGGAGGTAGAGGTGGCCCCCCAAGGGGTGGTGGTATGGGCCGTGGAGGAGACCGAGGTTTTGGTGGCCTTGGTGGAAGGTGACTATACAATGTTACATCATTCTGATTTTAATTTTACTTTTTATCTTGCGGGTATTCATATTAAATGGAGGATATTTACTTTTCAGAGGACGAGGCATGGGTATGAGAGGCCGTGGAGACTTTGGTTCAAGGGGAGATGGACGTGGTGGTGGTGGTGGTTTTGGAGGTAGAGGTAAATTTAAATTGTTTCTGTAGCATGATTTACAGAGACGACTTGTAGTTTTATTTTTTACTGTTAATATATATTATGTTCAGGTTTTAATATTGCTCTATTACAAAAAAATTATAGGTCGTGGAGGTCGTGGGATTGACCGAGGAGGACGTGGAGGTCGTGGTTTTGACAGAGGAGGTCGTGGTGGCGGAGCTCCCATGGGTGGTGACCGATACGGACCACCTCCAGCAAAGCGTGGTGGTATGGTACCACCACAGGGTGGACCAATGGCCAAGAGAGGTCGATTTGAAGGAGCACAAGGTGCTAATGGTTATTCTGCTCATCCTCATCCTTCGAGGTCAGTCTTTAATTACGAGTAATATGTCTATTGGTAGGCTGTTTTAAGTATTTATAGTCCTTTTCTATCCCACATGAGTAACAATGTATGTAACACTAATGCTGTTGAAATTCTTGGAAATGTGAAGAAAGTACACCCATTTAAAATTTGCAGCAATTTCAATAGAACCTTCTCTGTTCAATATTGAAATAATCATTTTAATGTTCACTTGTGTTTATCACTGTTTTCTGTGGTTAATTTTGTATTCAGGTTTGTTCTTACCCATAGTATTCAAGTCTGATCCATCTGTTTGATCTGTTGCACTTTGTTGATTAAGTTGGTATTATACATATTTCCAAGAATTCTTGATGTCTAAAAGCTGCTCCTGGTGCAGAATAAGGCATGATGATTCCTGTTTTGTTCAGGATCTGAAATTAGATGTGTAACCATGTAGTATACAAGGGTATTAATTTCCTTCTGTTTGTTTTATTTTGTTTCAAGTTGTTTTTATTGGGCTAAATATTGTGAACACTCCTGAGTTTCCAACCTGTCTCCCGTGCCTCACCAATAAGCGTATGTTTGATTTTTTGTTTTTCTTGCACCTTCAAGCCAATATTCTGGTGGCGCGTTTGAGGCACGTGGAGTAGCACAGGTTACTAGCTATCCTCCACCACCCATCACCTCAGCCTATGGGTGAGTTACTAGTATTTCGTTGGTACATGGATTTATTTAACTAAAACAAAACGTTCTACAGATATTGATTTAAGGAAACTGTATGTAGGTAAGTGTCCAAGTTTCACTATATCTCTATGGTGCCCATTTTGTACAAGTGTGTGATGTGGCATACAGTTTCTCAAGTGATCAGTGATGTGACAAATTTTTAAATTATTATTGTGTTCCTGAGTTCTTAGTTATTGTTTTTTTACTAGCATTATTACATTTTAGTGGCTACAATTACATACCCAGTATGCTATGGTTTCCATCTGTTTTCCGTTTAAAAAAACTTGATATTAGGTTGTACAGACCAAAATGTTTGTGAAAATAATGTACGTATAATTTTTCTATATATCTGATGCATTTATCTGGGCACTGTTGCTGACTGATCTTTTCCTTGACAGCCAAATTTTCAGTTTTAAAAAGATGTGAGCATAGTACAATTTACAAATACTTGTGCATTCATGTTTTATTTGTTTTGGGTTTATTGGATGGGAGGATGCCAGTGTTTAATAAAAATGTTTACAGAGGAGAAGCTGGCCATACGTACCAAGCTGATGGAGCAGGGCGCCATTATGATGGGTCAGCTGAGGCTGCGCCATATGGAGCAAACCAAACATATGGAAGTGGAAGTCAGGCTTATGGAGGAAGCGGTGGCTACACAAGTGGTGCTGCAGGCTATGAAGCTGGAGATTATGCAGCGGGTGGGTACAGTCAGCCTGTTCCTGATGCCGGGGCAGGATATGGCCCGCCACCGAGCACGGCCGGAGGCGGATACTCGCAACCAGACACCTACCAGTCCTACAGTAAACCAGGTGAAGTTTTGTCAACTTCATGTGTTGACTGTTTACCATCGCTGTTGGCATTTTTTCGTGGTGTGAAAATTGTTTATAGGTGGATTGAGATTTGAGTCTGTGGTTCTTCATCATCATCATCAGTAATTGTATTATACTATGTTGTTTTCTTGTAAAATGGTTTGGCTACGGAAATGTCATTGTGTACTGTATATTTAACACAATTTTAAGGTCTGGTGTAATTTTTGTTACGGAAATATTGTGACCATATAAGTAATCGTTCACTATGTCCCAGAGGTCAGGACCCATTTATATTATATCCAAAAGGATGTAATTTTTATATGCGTGTTGGGAAGTCTGGAGTATGTCATTGTTGTGTTCCTAAATGTTATTATTCTGCCAGTTTTAGAGGAAATCTATCATCATGTCATTGCTGCTTTGCCCCAAAAAAACTGACAATTATCTTCCAAGCATTTTATGGCACCTAAAAGTTTTCACATTTTGGTGATGGAGAATGATGCTACTCTTTTAGTTGGTTTGGTTTTAGATTGTAAATGGTTCACTGATGACTATGTAAGATTTGAGGTTTTCACAGTGGTGAGTATGAAGATTTCCGTCTTCTGGGTTGTTGCACTGTGTGGTCAGGTCAATGTTTGCCAACGTTTCTGAGGTCATACTGTGATTCATCGCCGTGATGACGGAGGCAGTATGACCTCTGAAACGTTGGTTAACATTGACCAGACTACACAGTGCAACAACCCAGAAGACAGAAATCTTCACTGATGACTAGTTGTTCTCTCCTTTTTAGCAGGTTATCAAGGCTTTGCTTATGTGAGAGGTGCATGTTTGATGTCATATGTCAATTGACATGATAACTAGTACATACAATCTTTGTTAAAACCCAGATAAACTGATCCAGCACAGCTGCAGCACCACAGTGAAGTTGTTACACAGAGGCTTCCTTCTTCTTTATTACGCCATCTCCTTTACAGGAGGTTGGCGACATATTATGAACAGGATCCTTCCATCCGTTTCAAAGACTGGGACCTGTTCATATATGTTTTTTAGGCAGGTGATCCAGAAGTGGTTTGCCATTGCCTTCTTCTGTGTGATTGTTGGGATGCCACGGACAAACCGGGGAAGCCCCGGAGGAAAACTCCGTGTTGCCTAGACCATGGCCTTGCCCAACACAAGTTATAAATTCGGGCACCACTGTGGTGGATTGAGGCTTCCTACTGTGTATGAAAATAAAATTGTAGCATTTCAAAAGACCCAGTAGTGTAGTTTGGGTAGTGTCAAAGACTAGATTGAACTGTTTGTTTTGAGATAGGGTGCTTGTCCTCCAAAGTCCCACTGCTGCATATTTTCATCTGTAAGTGGGATAAGCATTGATTGATTATTTTTTGAATTGCAGCTGCGGCTCCAGAGACCTATGGAGGAGGTTACACCAGTGGGACAGGATACAACACAGCCTCTGGCTATGATGACAGGGGCTACTCAACATCAACAAATACTTATGGTATGAATACTGCACATGGGAATTTTTTTATGTTGAATGAAATTGACCTTTGCAATTAGTGATAATTTGTAATGTGTTTAGCATAATTGTTGTAGGTCCATAATGAAGGACTTGAAGAAAGCTGTTTCAAAAAGTATCAATATGATAACCAGGTATTAGAGTTCAATACAATGTCAGAATGAATACCAGACTGCAGTGTGTCATTTTAACGTTATGTTGTTTTATCTCTTACATTCTTCAGACTTTTCTAGAATGACTTTTCTGTTGCGTATGATGTTTGCGTTTAGCCTGCACGTGTGAACGTTCTACTGATTTGAATCTAGGAATGTGTATTATAATTGTGGTCCCTGTAAAAGTATTG